AACCTCATCGCCTTGGCACCATGGTTCAACGCCACCTGCACTCTGGCGTATCTCGCCTCTGCCCGACTCGATCCGATCCGTGCCTTCATTTTTTACAAGCCAAACAATTCAACGAGAGAACCACAAGGCGCCGATTCACCAATATGGGATCTCGGTGACAACGACGCTTGGCGGACCCAAAATCGCTTCCCAGTCTTTGCCATTCCCGGCGCCCAAGGCAACAAGATGATGCGCCAACTAAGTCTTTACTCTGGAAATCTATCGTCAATACCATATGGAGACCAGATTCAGGACATATACGATCCCCACGACAACGACTATGTCCGCATATGGACCGAGTTGACTGTGAAGGACCGAGATAGTGTGCCCGCTATGTGGACGTGGATTCTTACGGTCGTTGGAGTCGTCATATTCATCATTGCCTGTTTATCACTCACAATGCATCTGGTGCAAAGGAGACGGAGGATATCATTACGAAGGAGAGTGTTGAGCGGAGAGGTCGACCTGGAGGCCATGGGTATCAAACGAATCACGGTCCCGATCAACCATGTCAAAGGTTTCCCGCTGTTTACGTACAGCTTCCAGCCGGAAATGGTCAGCAGCCCGGCAACGACGAGACCACCAAAGTCTGTCCGATCCCCACGAAGCCAGCGTACCGTTTCTGAGTCCGCCGCACCAAAATCAAGAGCCCGCAGATCCAGCGTGAATAGCGCCACCAGCACCGTTGCTACCAACTTCCAGCCTCAGTGCCACATTTGCCTCGAAAACTACGTGGATCGCGAATCCATCATTCGAGAATTGCCTTGCGGGCATATTTTCCATCCGGAGTGCATTGACGAGTTTTTGAGTTTGAACAGCTCCTTGTGCCCGATTTGCAAGAGGAACATGTTACCACGCAACTATTGCCCTAAGATCACCAATGGAATGGTCCGTCGAGAGCGGGCCGTTAGACGGCTGAGAGAGAGGGTTATCGTCGTCGAGTCAGATGACGAGGAAGAGGAGGTCAAAGGGAAAAGTTGGGGCAGACGGCTGTTCGGCACGGACAAAGCGGCATCATCCCCGAAGGAAACGCCGATGACGCCCGTCACAACCTCCAGGTCCCCGAAAACAGCACAAGAGTCAGCAACCGCACGCACCCCTGCACCGGCAGAGACGGAAGACCCGCGTAGGTCAACCCTAGAGCCGACACAAGAAGAGCAGGAAGATTCAGATCGACCTTCAAGTCAGTCAGGCGGTCAGGAGCCTACTCAACCCATATCACGACCGCCTCAAGCTTCACCGGCAGCACATCACGGTCTTCGAGGCAAACGTCGGAAGTCGGGTGGCCTGCGCCTCCATATGCCCGGTTCGGACGACACCAAGCAGACCCATTCAAAGCCGGAAGGACGTAAGAGTCCCTCCGCATTGGCACGGGCTCGGATGCGGGCATTGGCGGGTACGCCGCTCGACGACCCCGACGGGCGCAACCCAATATGTAAGCGTTTGCCAATCTATCGAGTTGAATGATCATTGCTAACTAGTACTCAAGGGAAGCGCTACGTCGTCAAGGTCTTTCCAGGGTTTTCATGACCCGCACTTTCGAAGCATTTCAAAACTCGGGGTTGCATGGTGCACAGGCGTTTTTGGTCAGGCAGACAGGACTGCTTCAGTGTCTTTTTAAGGGAACATGACGAAACACGATACAGCCTAACGACAGTCTCTCCCCGGCAGCTGCCCCACCACTCTGGGTGACGAGGAGACTGATTCATTTCTCACGACGACGATTAGACTCGGCAGGCTCGGCACAGCCTTTCAGCGTTTTACAATTTTGGGACGGATTTTTTCTCGAAGGGGGTTTTCTCAAGAAGCCCTCCTCATCTTTGGACTGGATATACCCTACAGGGAAAGGACATGCATCAACGGCGGGGTCGGCGGATGCCATGCGTGATATTAAAAGTTTAGTATTTAGTGATGAATGCCGACAGCTGCACGGCGAGTAAGGGAACACGGCAGACAGTTCAGGCCTTGCTATTTCTTCCAGCGGCCTGGAACGAGCGAGTCGCATCCTGAATGAAAGATTACCATTTTAAACTTCCAAGACCAAAAACAGAGTTCCATCTATTGCTTGGTGAAAAAACACGACTTCAGTCATGGTATCGTTGCTATTGTTGTTTCATCCGAATCTAAAGCAATGCCGTCCCTCATCCAATGTACTTTGCTCGCTTCTATCCGAACGCCCGCTCGTCTCAAAAACACGTTTACTTGCGCAGAGGAAACTATATCCTAAACTTTCACCATGTCATGTCTTGGCTTTTTGGCTCTTCTTGGCGTTCTCTTGGCAACGCTCTTCTCCGGTACCTCAAATTTAACCTCATCATCATGAGCGAGCACGACCCTCAATGAGCTTGTCGTCTTCTTTCGTGCCGCCCCTCGCCAGCGCCTCCCGGATTCGATCGTTTTCGGCGGCGCGGATGCGCTGCCTGGCCTCCTCCAGCCGCTCGACGCCGCGATCAATAGTCTCGATGTGCACCGTCAGGGGGATGGCGGCGGGCGAGTCGCGGACGAGCTCGGGGGCGGCGACGCGATCGCGGAGGTCGCCCAGGCCAGCCTGTATCTTCTCGAGGTCGACGATGAGGGCCGAGATCTGCGCCACGGCTGTGAGACGCTGGCGGTCTACCTGGCGGAGCAGTGAGAGCTGCGAGTTGAGATTGTGGAGGCGCTTGTTGTTGGCGCCGACGAGTGTCCAAATGGTCCAGAGAACCTCGTCTCTGCGGGATTTGACCGAGTTCGAGGAGCGCGTGACGACCTCGTAGATCTGGTTCAGGCTCTCCTCGGCTTTTGAGAGCAGTAGGAGGACACCCTGCGCTTCGACTATGAGTCCGGCAATGCGGTCTGACACGAGAGCCGTGTGTTCGATATACTTGTCCAACAGCGTACGCTCCGAGAAGGGCGTCACAGTTGGAGTAAATGGGTAAAAGAGCCAGTTCGTCCATTGGGATACGAGAGAGACGTCGGCGTTTTCCGCGGTAGACAGTGTATCCAGGTATCGGGATGTCCAGCGGTTGATGGATATTACCGAGTCCACGGCAGATCCAACATGGACGTTGAACTTTTGCAGGTCGGCAGCCGTCAGGCGCGCCGTATCAACGTACTCGTTGAACTCGTGTACGAGATCTTCTCGCTGCGGGAGTTCCGAGTATCGCACCATGGTGCGAAGGTCGCGTATTGATGATTCAGAGCGCTTCATCTCCATGGGCAATGAGACGCCATCAGCGCTGCGTTCCAGGACCTGCTCGAACTGCGACTGGACGTTCATGAGGTCGTCAAACTCGACGTTTGCGGACTCGGCATCTTGCGTCTTGCCGTTCAGTGGCCTGGGGGAAGGGCAGAACGGGAGATCTAGATATGCAGCTCCCGGGATGCGGCAAAGCGGGGAGAGAGATGTTGATATTGACTTCGTCACCATGTTCTGAAGCACCATGGATGCGCCGAAGAAGAGCCATACTGCCAGACACAGAGCCAAGGGCTTTTGGACGTATCCAAGAGCCATACCGATGATGTTGAACACCCAGGCCAATATATTGAAGAGGGCATTCGGGAGGCTCTCAGATAGTCTCTCGGAAACCGCCCGTGGCTGTCCAACTGGGACTTCGTAGTAACCACGGCCCCTTCTCGGATCCCCACGTCGAGATTTGACAGGACTTCCACCACTCGCTTGCCGGATCGCACGACGGCGCACGTCCTGTAGCTGGTAGGAATCGTCGCCGGGACGGATGGTCCTCGAGGACCGGCCGCTGCTGTTTCGGGGACTGGTGCCTGAGCCGGAACTCATGTGGACGGAGGGCATGTAAAACTCAGGATCCGGGGTCCGGCTGGTGTCGTGGCGAACGGTAGGCTGGAACGGAGAGCGGAGGATCACCCGTTCATCATCCGCCTTATTCATAAAGTCCTGAACGCTATGGTGCGACTCTTGGGAAGCGCCGAAGCTGAAAGACTGCGAAGGAAGTTGGGACGGGTCAGTTGATTGAAAACCATCGTCGTCTTCGAGATCGTTGAGTATAGACGTGTCGAAGCTGTCGTTTTCGCCGCCTTCAATCAGGCGCCAGGAGCTCTCCACGGGAAGCTCCTGCTCGCGTCGCGAAGGCATCGCGTTGGCAGATAAGGTTGATAGGACTTGGAGGATGACAGAAAGGCCTCAGCCTAAGAAATAATGTGTATATATAGTATTGGCAAGAGTAAAGATGTCCATGGGCGACCCGGCCCGTCGTTCAAGAAAGCGCTGAGCGTATATGCCCTAGAAACGCGTTGACCGCGTCCAGTGGCGAGATAGATACAAAGTTCGCGAAATGCGACCGCCTCGGTATATATGTAGTTGGGAAGAGAGAATATGATTGTTCTGGAGACTTGCTAGTGAGTCATCAGACGGGAGCTAATAACAGGGGTTACGACAACGGTTCTGGGCAAAATAGGCAGACAAAGGACGATCTATAACAATGAGATGTAAAGATGAAGTTCACAGACTTTCACAACAGACGTCCCGGACTGGCGTCATAGGATCCAGCAGGCGCCCCTTGCATGGCAGCTGTTGTTTGGGGGCAAGGTAGCTTTGGGTGGGTAGCTTCCTCCACTGAATCCGCTGTATTGGCAGCAGCAGGGACCATGTGGCAGCGTGACTCGACAATGATAAAGCTTCGCTTCCCCTGGTCAGGTCACATGGACCAGGCGATAACAGATGGTGCATCACCCCGCGCGGCAGCACATCCTCCCCAAAGTCCGACCCGACCACCACCTACCTATCCGGTGAAACATAGAGCCGAATCCGGGGAACGTTGCACACGACCTCACCACCCAGCTGCCCCACTTAGCCTCCGGCGCGATTGATGCCAAACGTCTTTTTGAGGTCAGGAACTTAGCCTCACCTTCCAAAACCTCGCTTTCCATGAACCCACCAGCCTGTTGCGCGCACACCATCAATAAACACCCCAATCTACCCGAAACAAACGCGCGCACAATCGCCCACCATGACGATGGATCAGCGCGAGCTTGAGTCGAGCATCAAGCAGCTCAACAAGACCGTTCAGGCCAACGATCCGCCTTCTTCGGCCTTGGCTCTTCTTGAGCGCCTCAAGAAGGAGGCCGCTCCTACCGAGGAGATGCTTCGAGTACGTCATCATCACACCTTAAAAAAAAAATCGCCCATCCGGTTTTTTTTGCCTCTCATATTATCTCGCGATAAGATGAAAGCAAGTATTTGTCGCTTGGGAAGGAATTAACAATCGCCTAGGCCACCCGCGCTGGTGTCTTCGTCGGCAAGCTTCGGTCGAACTCGAACAAGGATATCGCCCGCGCCGCGACCGAGTTGGTTCACAAGTGGAAGAAGCTCGTCGAGGCGGAGAAGCAGGGCAAGCTCAAGAAGCAATCTTCCCCTGCCGCGCCCTCCCCCACGACCGCGAGCGCCCCGAAGCCCTCGTCCTCCGGCAGCTCCAAGGAGCCCTTCAAGGGCAACGCCGAGAACCGCCGTGCCAAGGAAGATGGCGCCGACACCAAGCGCACTGGCGACAGCGTTCGCGACGCCTGCATCGAGCTCCTTTACAACGGCCTCGCCTACCGCTCCACAGCATCTGTCGCTGACGTCCTCGCTAAGGCTGTCGCTGTCGAGGCTGCCGCCTTCTCCCACTTCAAGGGTGTCGGCGCTCCTTATAAGGAGAAGGTCAGATCTCTGTTCTCCAACCTCAAGGTCAAGACCAACAAGGAGCTTGGTGTGAATGTTATGGAGGGCAAGATCACTCCCGATCGCTTCGTCGCGATGACGCAGGAGGAGCTCAAGTCTGCCGAGCAGCGCAAGAAGGAGAACTTGCTCCAAGAGGAGAACATGAAGAAGGCGCAGGTTCCCATGGCGGAGAAGAGTATCAGTGATGCTCTGACTTGCGGCAAGTGCAAGCAGAAGAAGGTCAGCTACAGTCAAGCGCAGACGCGCAGTGCTGATGAGCCTATGACCACCTTCTGTGAATGCACTGTCTGCGGTAACCGCTGGAAGGTAAGCCTTATTCCTTGGCTGTTATGTTTCATGCGGACACCGACTAACAATGCCTCCAGTTTTCTTAAGCCGGTAACCGTAGCTGCGGAGGTTTCGATTCTTTTTTATCCACTTGACGGCGTGTTTTCGCGTATACCCCGTTACTGAGCACGGGCGGTCTTGCATTTGGCACTCGGAAAGTACGGTTCGGTTGGTTCGGAGTTGGGGATGAGGAAATGTGGCCTCCTTTTTCATTGCTTTAAGCCGTTCTTACGCCCCGGAAACAAAAGCTTGGGCAATCATTCTTGCTTCTTACGGTGTGCTCATATCGAGGGGATTTGCACTCTAGAGGAGGGTTTCGATAGATTCATCTTAAGACTACTAAGAATCATCGAGTCGTCGTCTCATTGGCATTGATCATGTACACATTCTTCATTTCTTTGCGGGATCGATCTTGAGAGCGGAGAACAAATCAGCCGAGTGTTCGTCCTGCTCGAGACCCATTTCCGCCACATGCTTCCAAAACTTGCTGAGATGCCTGGTGCCCGAGTCGCAGAGGATGGTGACGACCTGGCTCCCCTTGGGCAAACGCGAAGCCGCAACGCACGCCGCGGCGCAGTTGACAGCGCTGCTGCTGCCGACGAAGATGCCGTCGTTCTCCACCAACCACCGCGCCATGCGACACGCTTGCTCATCCGTGATCTTAATCGCGTCGTCAACCAACTCCCGTCCAGCCTCGAAGTTCTCCGTGATGCGGTTGATTCCAATGCCCTCCACAATCGTGTCGACCTGCTGCCTGCGCCGCGTGCCCTCCTTCTCCGTGTTGGAGTACATGACGCCGTGGCGGATCTTGTTGTAGAGCCCGCTGCCCTGGGGATCCGCCAGGATGACCTGCAGCCCCGGCACCTTGGCTTCCTCCTTCAGGTACTTGGCGACGCCCGCAATGGTGCCTCCCGTCCCCGCGCCGGCCACGAAGGCATCGAGCCTGCCGCCAGTCTGGTAGACGATCTCCGGTCCCGTAGTAGCGAGATGCGCGGCAAAGTTGTGAGGGCTCTCGAACTGGTCCGCGAAGAATCCGACGCTGCCGTCGCCTGCCTTGGCGGCGTGCTCGGCCGCGCGCTGGCGGGCGAGGTTGACAAAGTGTTCAGGCGATGCGATGGGGGCGGGCGGCACGCGCTCGACCGTCGCGCCGAGGTGGCGGAGAAGGTCGACCTTTTCCATAGCCATGTCGTTGGGCATGCAGATGTGCGCGCGGTATCCCTTTGAGCGTGCGAGAGTCGCCAGCGAGATGCCCGTGCTGCCGACTGTTCCCTCGTAGATGGTGTCCCCGCGCCCAGGAACAAGCAGGCCGGATGCCTCCCCGGCCTCGATCATGGACAGCGCGACACGGTCCTTGGGCGTGTTTCCCGCGGCGTTGAGGAATTCGGCCTTGGCGAGGATCGTGCGTCCCGTGGCCTCACTTAGAGATCGGATCTTGATGAGCGGCGTGTTCCCGATGGCCCCCGCGACGCCCTCGGCGATGAGGGGCGGGTTCCATGCGCCGAGCGCCGCGGCGTCCGCGTCCGACCCCGATTCATGATCCTCCAGCTGCACCGGCGGTCCCCAAAAAGCACTGCTTCGTCTAGAGGGATCCGTAGATGAGCCGCCGGTTTCCCTCCTTCGTGTGCGGCGGCGCTGGTAGCGGCGCTCGAGGTCCGGGTAAAAGTCCTTGAAGCCCAACGTGACGAGTATGCCGGCCGTAAAGGCGAGCGCCAGGGCGGCAGAGCCGTAGGCTTTTGGATGATTGCTTAGAGACATGTTGTCTGCGTCATGTGTCTTTCTCCATTGTCTGCCGCAACAACCTTTCTTGTGTTCTCTCTCTCTCTCTTTCGAGATGTGTGTTGTTGCGGTCTCGGAGCTGGCGAGTCACTGGTCAAAAAACCAAACAGACGGTCGCGTGCGCATGAATTTTGACCATCTCCCACTACAGGGGACCAGCCCGCTAAAATGTGATGTCATTTAAGCTCTATTGGACCCCTGCTCTCAGCCTCAATCTGCAGTTCCAGGCGACTCAGAGCTAGTGCCCTGGCTGAAGCCTGCCACACACTATCGGCGGATTAACAGCTGCCCCGTCCAACAAGGAGCTCGGGCCATGTCCCGAACACTGAACCCCCCATGCCAAATGAGGAGCCGACGATTTGCGATTTTGGGCAGTTTGTTGACCTCTTCCTACGGCCCGCGAGCTGGAAACGCCCGTCTCACCGCCGCAAATCTCCCTTCACCTCCGGGATGGACTCTCCTCTCGTCACCCGCCTCTTCCGCGAGCTCTTCCGCCGCCCGGCATGTCAATCCCGCAGGCAATGCACCACCACCACCGCCGCCGCCGCCGCCGCCGGCTCTCTGCCGACCCTCCGTCACAACACCCAGAATGCCGCCGCCGCAGCACAACCACAACAGCAACGGCGGCATTACGCCGTCAAGACGTCCCAACCTAGAGGCGAGCGGACAAACGAGTCCAAATGGCAGCAGCGCACATCCCTCTTCCCCAGCGACCGCACCGAAGAATTCGATACGTATCCGACCCTGACCTCCGCCGAACTGGCCGCCCGCTCCACCCGCCCGCGCAAGGTCAAGATGCTCACGCGCGACTTCATCGAGGACAGCCTGTACAACCCGGCGTACGGATACTTCTCCAAACAAGCCGTCATCTTCTCCCCCGGCCAGCCCTTCGACTTCCCCGCCTTCAAGGACGAGCCGCAGTTCTACCGCGAGCTGGGCAGGAGGTACACCGAGTTCGAGGACGACCTCGACGAGCGCGAGGGGGTCAACGACGCCCGGCCGCTGTGGCACACCCCCACGGAGCTGTTCCGGCCGTACTACGGCGAGGCCATCGCGCGGTACCTCGTGTCCAACTACCGCCTGACGACGTACCCCTACCACGACCTCATCATCTACGAAATGGGCGCCGGCCGCGGCACGCTGATGCTCAACATCCTCGACTACATCCGCGACCTCGACCCGCAGGTGTACGCCCGCACGCAGTACCGCATCATCGAGATCTCGCCGGCCCTGGCGTCGCTGCAGAAGCACCACCTGCTGTCCACCGCCGACTCGAGGGGCCACGCTTCAAAGGTGGAGATCATCAACAAGTCCATCTTCTCATGGTCGGAGAGAGTCCCGTCGCCGTGCTTCTTCGTAGCCATGGAGGTCTTTGACAACTTCTCCCACGACTGCGTGCGTTACGACCTGGCGACCGAAGAGCCGCTGCAGGGCTCCGTCCTGGTCGACGGCGACAACGACTTTTACGAGTTCTACTCCCCGGACCTGGACCCCGTCCTCGCCCGCTTCCTCCGCGTGCGCGACGCCGCCACGGGCGGCCGGTATCCGACACCGTACCCGGCGAACCGTCTCCTGCGCAATCTAAAGTCCCGCATGCCTCTGATGCCCAACCTCTCGGAGGCGGAGTACGTGCCCACCCGGCTGATGCAGTTCTTCGATGTGCTGGAGAAGTACTTCCCGGCGCATCGTCTCGTGACGAGCGATTTCCACTCCCTCCCGGACGCCATCCCGGGTCTCAATGCGCCTGTTGTCCAGACTCGTTACGAGCGGAAGACGGTGCCCGTCACGACGCCTTTGGTGAGCTTTTAGGACAAGAACCCCGATGGTGGCCGAGACAATGCTAATCAACCCGCAGGTTCACCAGGGCTACTTTGACATCATGTTCCCCACAGACTTCCATGTCATGGAGACCGTGTACCAGGCCATCACGGGTAAGCTCACGAGACTAATGTCGCACGGCGACTTCATGAAGCGCTGGGCGTTCCTCGAAGACACCCAAACGCGCAGCGGGGAGAACCCCCTTCTGAGCTACTACCAGAACGCCAGTGTTCTGGTCACTGTATAAACAACGACCTTGTATAGAGAAAAAGGACATATACCCCGTGGGCCGTGGAAACTCTTTCTGCGATGACACGTTTAACCTTTTTCGTCTTGATGCCGTAAACGTGTGTGAGAGGAACTGCTTTTGATATCTCTTCAAACTACTCCTGTGTGCCCTGACGGGTGCACAACATAACCTTTCCACCCATATGCCTTATCCGTCTAGTTCCTGAACAAAAGTGAATTGGTTGCCGACATGCGCCCACGGCATCCAGCGGGAATATCTTTATCGTGCTCAGATGTTGAGCTTCTCCTTGAGCCACTTCTCAGCGGTGGCAACAGCCTCATCAATGTTCTCGGCGTTGGTACCCTGTCCCTGGCGGACAGGCTCCTTACCGCCGGACTTGCCTCCGATTACTCCGCTGACCTGGGTAGCCCATTGCTCAGCAGTCACGCCCTGGGATGAAAGGTGCTATTACTTGAATTAGCCTGGTGCTCATATAAGAAGAATATGGTCAACTTACCGTTCCAACGTAGACACCGTGGGCGACCGCGCCCTCGTCCTTGCTACCGCCAAACAGGTAGACAGAGCGCTCCTTGTCCTTGGACTGGAAGTGCTTGACAACCTCACCGATAGCCTTGGCGTTGGCCGAAATGGGGAGCCGGCCAACGAACCACTTCGAGTCCTTGTTCTTGTCAAAGTGGCCAACAACGGTGTCCAGAGCGGTCTTGGCCTCGGCCTTCTGACGCTTCTTCTGCTCATCCGTGACGGCCTTGACGATCTTCTCAAAGCGCTTCTTGATGTCTTCCTTGGTGAGGGTGGAGATGGTCAGCTGGTTCAGGGCGTGCTGCGTGGTCTTGATCTCCTGCTCCTTGCCGGGGCCGAAAGGCAGGGCCTCAAGGGCGTCCAGCTTCTTGGAGAACTCAACAGCCTCGCGCTGGACCTGGTGAGCAGCGTCGCCGGTGTAGGCGATGATGCGGCGGATACCCTTGGCAATACCGCTCTCCTCGACGATGACGAGGTCCTTGATGAGACCAGTCGACTCAACGTGGGTTCCGCCGCAGAACTCGACACTGTACTTGCGCCACTCTGGGTTCTTGGGGTTCGCGAGCATGGTATCAACATCGACACCAACGGAGACGACGCGGACAGGGTTGGGGTAGGTCTCGCCGAAGACAGCACGGACACCCTCGATGCCGCGGGCAAGGTCGAGGTCGACCTCCTTGGCGT